AAAGATCGACCCCCTTCCAGGCACCTAACCACAAGCCGGACGACTTGTCGCGGTTAATCTTGGCCCCTGTTACCTTTTCGTACCGATCAAGCGCCTTCAGTACCGCCTCAATGTCGCTGCGAGACGACACGAAAACAGATACGTCATTGGCGTACGCAGAAACCCTGGCTCGGGCTCCTCTAGGACGGCGATTCCGCGTAGGGCCGGACTGCATAACCTGTCCCTCAGTTGGCGAAGGGGAGGCTCCAACGCCAAAGCATAAAGTAGGGGCGACAGTGGACAACCCTGACGGACCGACCTAGACAGTGCAAAAGCGCCCGACAGCTTCCCGTTCACCTGTACAACAGCACTGGGGGAGCGGTACAGGAGGTTAATCCAGCGGCAGAAGTCTGGTGCGAATCCGGCGGCCTGCAGGACAGTAGCAAGGTAGCGATGGTCAAACCTATCAAATGTCTTGGACTGATCCAAATTGATCAGCGCGGCACACTCGTCGTCTTTTACATCCTCTATAATCGTGCGGATCAGATGCAGGTTGCTCTGAATTGATCGGCCCCTCACAGAACAAGTCTGCTCAGGACCCAGCAGAGACTAGGCAACTAACTGCAAACGCTCCTGAAGGATCTTGGCCAAAATCTTTAACTCTGTATTTAGCAGAGTTATGGGCCTGTAGTCATCTAGGTTCCCCTCAACACCCTTGCCCTTTTTCAACAGCGTGATCACACCCCTGGAAAACCGGTCGAACACAAAGGGACAAAGATGTGCGACAGCCTCAAGTACAATTCATAGGGCCGGGCGAGTTGCCTCTGCCGACCTTCTTCAATGCTGGGTAGACCTCGCCTTCCGTGATCTCTCCTTCGCAGCTAGCCGCTTTAGTCGGCGAAAGCCGTGGAAAGTCAGCCAAATAGCTGCTAAATTCGTCCTCGCGAAGACCAGGCTCCTTGGTAAACCGGCTCTCGAAATGCCGCCGAAACGCCTCGCACATGTTGTCAGTGGCCCGAAGAGTATGCCCCTCCGGGGATCTGACTTCACGAATGTAACGATCGCCACCTCGACGGACCTCTTCCTTGCGCAATTCTGCGCCCCTGTTCACGGATTCGGGAGACATCTTGCTTAACCTATGTCTAATTACCTGGCCCATGTAGCGCTCGCTATTCGAACGCTCCACGGCCTCCCTAGCTAAGGCTATCTCTAGGGAATCCCCCCAGCCACCGCCCGGGAAAGACTAGCTCTAAGCGTTTTCATCTTAAGTCGATCCCACCACTTATTCCCGATAATCGCCCCCACTAGCTCCCGCTGTACTAAGCTAGTTAGCTGCTCCTGGAAGTCCCGCCTGTCCAGTAAAGACAGAGTGAACTTCCAGTAACCAGCCATTCTAGGCCTATGCTCTAACGCTATGCGGGCACAAACGAGTTTGTGGTTCGTATAGCCTACCCAGTGGAACGTGGGACAATCTAACAGATCTATGTCGGCTCTTCTAACTAACATTGTCAAGGTAGCTAAGAGCCCACGTCCACATTTTCCCCCGGGGTGATCGACCCGGTATCTATCAACGAGACCAAAATCGTTGATCAGATCAACCAGGCTACGACCGCACCTTCTCCCGGTAGCACCCCGCCCCCGATCTAACTTGGGGTTCAGGATGGCATTCCAGTCCCCCATTAGAACTAATCGCGTTGAATCCACCAGGAACGGCCCCAACCGCCGAAAAAAACGAGACCCGTTCCTCCTGGTCGTTGGGCGCATAAACCGCAACGACTCGGAACAAACCACTTTTCACGGCAATATCGGCCACGATCAACCGTCCCTCGGCATCGGTATGCACAAGGTCCACCTTCGCATCAAAAGTACGCTTCACCAACAAAGAGACTCCTCTGGCCTGTCGGTTCCCATACGCTGAATAGACGATAAAGCCGTCCTCCAGCACACAAGCATCGACGTTCCTAACAAAGTGGGTCTCTTGGATCGCGGCGACATCCACACCGAACGACAAGAGATCACGGAGCAGACGGGAAGCCTTACTCTGATCCCTCAAGCCATTCGCATTCAAACTGGTTATCTTGACAGACATCGATTAGGCCTGCAAAAAAAAAAAAAAAAAGAAAAAATGAAGAAAAGTGCAAAAAACCTACTCACACACCGGGCGGAAATCTGTGGTGGAAAGGACCCCGACAGATTGTCCTAGGCTCCCTGTGCCCAACTCTGTCGTCATCCGACCATCTAGGACAATACCGCCAACGTCCGTAGGGTAAGTTAGTTTAACAGCCCTATATAAGGAGGGATAGAGAAAAACTGGGACCCTCCCTGCACAAAATTGTTTAAGCTTTCTCGAATTTTCATTTTCTAATTCTATCATCCTGATGTTGAGATAAGCTTCCTTTGCTTCGAACAGGTGGCCTCAGACCTTTAAATATCGGCCTGTGTCCCTCACGCATGTGATTATTCTTGAGGCACCTGGGAAGTTTCGGGGGTCCTCAACCGATTTTCCTTCTACTTTCTCCAGTTTTAACAGAGGTCTTAAAAGGGACTTTTTCTGTTTTGATAGTCCCTTTTTGAACTCCTCTCTATCTACTTTGCATATGGCCTTTGGGCCGGGATAAAACTTTTTTCTTTTTCTCCCTAGAAGGGTGGGGAGGAGAAGAAGTGGATGTGTGAGGGGGGAATAGTGAACTGAGTGAAGAGATGGCGGGAGTGAGGGATGGAGCACGAGATGGGGAAGTAGGGAGACTCCTTGCTCTTGTTTGGACCATGCTTCCTTTAGGCGAAGCAGGGACGGAGAGTGACCTGGTTTTATCCATGACACTCTTCGCCCTACTGCGGCCAGAGTGCCTTTGCTTAGGTTCCTCTTCCTCCTCGTCCTCTCTGCTCCTTTTAAGGGATGCTGCCTTAGGTGGATGCATTTTTTCCACCTCCATTGGCGTTTCCCTGTTGTTTCTGCTGTTGCTTTATCTGTTCGTGATGCTGCTGATTTTGCTGTTTGTGTTGTTGTTGCTGCTGTTGGTGTAGTTGCTGTTGTTGGTGTAGTTGCTGCTGCTGGTGTTGTTGTTGCTACTGTTGGTGTTTGTTTTTGATGCACCTTCTCCTGCACCTTCTTTGGAGGCTGCACCTCCTTTTGTTGTTGCTTGTCTGCTGCTTGTTGCCTCTTTGGTTGAGGTATGTCCTGCGGAGACGGAACATTAATGGCTTTCCGCCCCCTTTCTACCTCCTTCCAGGCTCCCTCAGGTGATTTCGTGATTGACCCCTCCACTGCTGGCGTCGCGACCACTACTGCTGCTGTTGCTGCTGGACGGGGCGGATGTTTTAGGTTTTTACCAGGGCACTTCTTGGACATGTGCCCTGAAGCGCCACACGACCAGCACCATGGTTTCCTGCCCTCAACAACAACTAACATCCGTTTGTCATGGCAAACCAGAGTATTCGGTATATCTCCAAAGTTTTTCCGATTTACCGTGACTTGCACCTCCATATCACCTGTCGCTATTCCACTTTTGCTTATGAGGGCCTTTACCTCATGGACTTCCCCATATTTGGCGAAAAAGGCCCCCATTCTATCCTCAGGGATATCTACTAGGACTCCGTGTATGGTCACCTTCGTCCTGCGGGTGCCCATACACTCTGTCTGCAGACGTAAGTTCTTGGTTAGTAAGCTTCCTGCTGGTTCTTTAGCTTGTTGCTCTGTTGAGAGCATTGGTTCTCCTAGCAAGTATTTTGGGGCATGATATCCCTGCCGACCCCAATTAGCTTTCGAGTTTTAACATCGGGAGTCAGCAAGGAAATTGTTCGACTGCTTACAGCATCCAATACCTCTGGAATTGTTAAAAATTCGTTTCCTTTGAACGATTCTTCAAACTTCTTTCGTTGGTCAATATAAAAAGCAGCATCTTTTTATGCGACCTATTTTTCGCCCAGGCCGTTTTTACTGGTGACACCGGTTGTGAAAGCGGTGTATTGACTTCGTCATTGTTATTGTCGGCCATGATGGTTTTTTCCGGCCCACCACGCCGAACAAATAAATCGTTTTGATTTTTCTTTTCTTTAAATTATTTTTTCACAAACGTAAAATAAATTAGTCAAAAACAAACAAAAATATACGTGCAAACTCAAAAGGCAACAAACAATTAAAAGAAAAATAGACAACAAAAAACAAGAAAAAATTCACAAAACAGAAAGACTGAAAAATTCAAACGGAAAACAAACAAGGCAATAAAGTAAAATGTACACAAATGCAAAAAACTGAACCAGGAAAACTGAAAATTCGAAAAGGTTACAAAAATAAAAGCTTATCTTTTTAGGCGCAATGAAAACTCAAGTTAAACCAAATGAGAAAAACGACCACACACAAAGTGGCTGAAATTCTGACTAAGGCTCTTGACTCTTTGTGGTGAACAGCCCCGTAGAATCAAGCGAGCCAGAGTGGCTTGCATCTGGTGTATAGGAAAATAAGGGTCTTACTTAACGTGCGGCACGTGACAAAAGCAAGTTTGCTTCGCGAAAATGGCATTACTCTCCCGTCCAGCCATTCTAATATTTATTTGCACTTTGTACAAAATGTGGCACAAGGCCTAAAAGGGGGTTGGGGAAGGATGGTCTTCCTCTGTCTTAATTCTAAACTTAGCTAGTCACAGACACGGACCCAAACATACCAACAATACTCCTAACACCAAAACAACACAAGTATCCATACCTTTCATACTACGTCCACCAAAATACCTCTTCGTCTCAATGAAAGTCCTAAATAGTCCCCTTATGTACAAAAAAAATCTTTGTCTTCTTCACAACTGTTGTCAAGGACTGAAGTGTAAATAATCCCAGCAATACAATGTGACTTCATAATATCAAATATATAGCCCAAAGAAATACATGAGAAGCAAATATAACACTGTTACAAGTTACTAATAAATAAAGTGTTTCATTCTTTTGGAAAAACTATCATATATTGTGTGAATATAGAAAAAAAAACAGGTTTATTATTATTATCTATCAGTCAGTATGCTGTAACTCACCTTTAGTTCTTTGTTTAACTTCTTTTCAAGGACAATATCTAAATCTCGGCATTTCTTTTCCAGTTCTGCTTTCATCTCTTTTTCTAATGCTGCCTTATTTTCTTCTTGTCTTTTCTCAAGAAGAATATTACAAAGAATCGAAGCAGCAGCACTGTGACAAATATAAAAGCAACAAATTATTAAGAAGTAACAAGGATTATTTTCTTGCTAAAACAGAATTATTGGATCAAATTTGAATTTGGCTGCATATTGCTTGTATCGCTTACTAATTGCATCAAAACACTTCCCAGGTTACAAGAAGTAAACTCATATTAAATGTTGTAAGAAACAACTCAGCAATGCAGGCCCAGTTGGCCGATTTGTACGTAGAGGCACTTGGTGACGAACGCATTCATCACGATGTTCTTAACGAAGTATCCGTAAAATTACAGGCAGCAGTGACACTGGCCAGAGAGAACCAAGATATCTGGGAGAAAACAAAAAAGAGAGTACAAGGAAGTAGGCAGGCAGGGTGGAGATAAGAGGACCCCCACATGGAATAGAGCAGTCAAGCGGGAGGAGGTAGAGCCCGAAGAGTGGGAAGGGGTTCTCGGAAGAAGGGATTGGTCGCTCAGACATGGGTTCTATGAGTCCATGTCTGATAGGTTTGTTGGACCTGTCTTCACGAGGGCTACAGGGTGGTTGACTGCCCAACAAAATGGGGATTAAGATGAACAATGTGATAGATGTGGTAAAAAGGGACACAAAACTCAGTGGCGTGTGCTCAAGAAGGGTGTCCCACCAATAAAGGCTGTGAAGACTGGCACTGAAAAGCATAAACAGAGAAACAGGCCGCCCCGTAAGAGGGAGAGTGGCCCATATGAGAAGAAGGGGAATGAAGTGTTGGGCATGTGATCAGGTGGGCCACTTCGTGGCAAACTGCCCAACAGGGAGATGTTGATTCTGTGGAGAACCGGGCAACCTGAGAAGAAGCACCCGTAGGAGGGACGAACTAGAAAAGGCCCAAACACGAGCACCCAGATGAAAGAAACAAAAGGGGACACCTCGTAACAATGATAGTAAGGGATTATAACTGCCAGCACCCATAACTGGATGGGCGGAGAACCGATGTCCTAGAAGAAGAAAGGCGGGGGGTATTCTCCATGTTAACACAGGAGAAGGAACTCTCTTGTGAGGAAGTGATAGGAGGTATAGTAGTGGACACAGGGGTGTCAGTCTCCTTACTACGAGAAAAAGAATACAAAGGGTTGAAGAATAGAGGAGGGATGCATAAATCAGATATAGAAATTACCCAGGTAGACGGCACCCCCATGAAAATAAGGGCAATGGTGAAACTCCTAGTAAAGATAGGAAGGACGAAGAGTGTCCAGAAAATTTATATAACCCTGATCTATGCACGGAAGCAATTATATGAGAAGATTGGCTTCGTTACCATGAGTCCAGCCTAGAATTCAACCCCACTGTACATGGAAATAAGGACGCCAATGGGAAACCCACTGGAGGAGTTTGTAACAATAGTGGCAGGAGAGGACATAAGAATACCCACTAGAACGGCAGTGTCAGGCAGGGGTAGACCATTAACAAAGAAGAAAATGAAGAAAGAGAATTAAGTTGGAGCCTTATAGGACTCCCATTCATAAGAAGCCCCTAGTAGAAGAAGCGGTCAGAGACATGTTGGAAGCAAGGATAGTAGAGAGATCAGCGTTCTATTGTAGTGGTGGAGAAAAAAGATGGCGGGCATCGGTTCTGCGTGGATATCAGAAAGCTGAATGCGATTTCCAAACCGTTGGCGGTGCTCCTGTCATTGAACGATGATATATTGGCCTTGTTGGGGAAGGTGAAGTACTTCTCCATGTTGGATTTAAGGTCTGAGTATTGGCAAGTAGCCCTTGATGAGGCTGATAGAGAGAAGGCCGCATTTGCGTGTCACCTGGAACTGTTTCAATTCAGGGTCATGATATTCAGTCTGACCAACTCTCCGGGTATTTTCCAGCAACTTATGCCAATAGTGTTGGAAGGAATCGAGAGTTTTGCGATGGTTTATTTGGACAATATTCTGGTGTTCTCAGAGTATCCAGAACAACATTTTAATCACCTAAGGCAAGTGTTTGGACGGTTGAGGAGGCATGGGTTGAAGCTAAAGCTGACAAAATACCAATTTCTGAAGGGTGAAACTAAATATTTAATATAGGCTTTGTGATAGATGGAAAAGGGAATCAAGCCTGATTTGGATAAAGTAGAGGTGATCAGAGAGATGCCAGAGCCCAAAACGATGAGACATGTGCGAGGTTTCATAGGGGATGATAGGATATTACCGACGGTTTATCCCGGCATTTTCTGAAATAGCAACCCCTCTAATAGCACTAACGAAGAAATACGCCCGATGTAAGTGGACTAGGGATTGTCAGAAGGCATTTGACACCCTAAGCTGGCTGCTGTTCCTTTATTGGCATATCCAGATCTCAGCAAGCCCATGGTCCTATATACAGGTGTCAGTGAGAGGTGTGTAGGAGCAGTCCTTACTCAGCTATTTCCTGAGAGATATACTTCCTCTCGTATATGCTCTCATACGCAGCAGAGATGGTCAGTAATAAAAAGGGAGGTATATGCTATCATATGCCTTCCAGAAGCTAGATTACTATCTGAGCGGAGCCATGTTCACCAAAACTGACCATAAGCCACTCCAGTACTTATTGGAAGCGGAGTGGACCAAAAAAAAAAAAAAGAAAAGATTCAACAGTGGGCCCTAAAGATAAGCTGGTACAGTTGCAAAATTGAGTACCTAGCGGGTAGAGACAACACTTGTGCAGATCTGCTCTCAAGGATACCTAAATAGTTAGAGAGAGAATTTGTGAGAATAGAGTCAGGGTGAAGACGACAGAGTTTACCAAATTGGGGTCATTAACGCCAGTGGATTTGGGAAGCGCCTTATGTTAGAAACAGATGATGAAGAAAATACGCAGGTGATAGGTGACCCCGACTGTTTTGAAGAAACCAAAGAGGAACAGGTGGACACTGAGATAGCTGCCCTTAGGAAGAAAGTAAAGTTGGGAGAGACCTCTAAGTATGTAATACAGGAGGGAAAATTGTATTATCTCTCGGGTAGAGATGATCAGATCAGATCCAAGTTATATGTGCCAAGAGGCTTGATATTAGAAATTGGGACACATGGGGATTGATAAGACGTATGATCTAATAGGACGAAACTTCTATTGGCCCAAATTGTATCGTGAGGTCACTAAGTATATCAATAGTTGTGTGGTATGCCAAACACGAAGCAGAAAAAGAGAAATGGCACTTCTTGAGAAGGTGAGAATCGATGTGTCGGGAACCTATAGAAAGACCTCTAGAGGCAACAACAATATACTTAGTTTCGCAGATTGGTTAACGAACTGACATGAGGCGATTGGCGTACCGGATAAAAAGGCTAAGACAGTACACAGATTGTTAATCAGTGAAATTTTTCCCAGGCATGGTGCCCCTGTCCAATTAGTAACAGATAATGAACCTGAGAATATAAATAGTATAATGAGAGAAGTCCTAGTGAGCTTGAACGTAGTGCATATCACGACAATTCCCTACCACCCCAGGGTAATGCTAAAGTGGAGAGGTTCTACAAGACCTTGGGAGATGGCGAGAAGTGATACGAAAATCTCGAACCTGTATTGGTTTACGATCAATGAAACCTCCAGGTTTTCGCCTTATTATATGCTGTTTGGCAGAGATGTGGTCCTGTCGGTAGACAATCTAATAAAACCCCACAGAAAGTATATGGGGGAGGACCAACATCAATTAATTATAGAGAAGCAGCATAAGCTGTTCGTACAGGCTAGAAGAAAAATAAAAAGGGCACAGAAAAGGAGAAATGAAAAGCTGAATATGGGAAAAGAGGTAGCAGAACTAGGGATTGGGGACCCCGTATACTACAAAATTCACCAGAGAGAGGGAATGCTGGACCAGAGATGGGAACCCTACTATAGAATAGTGGAGCAGACGGGTTTAGTGTCATATATAATATGGCACAAGGTAGTTGGGCGAACAAAGAGAGCTCATGCCAATGATCTGAAGAAAGCTGAAATAGCCAGTTTGGAAGTAAGTGGGCCAAAGGCATAAAGGGCGAGAACGAGGAAGGTAACCTTTGTTGATTAGATACCCCCTTCCTAGCTCAGAAAAAGGCTAAGAAATGAAAAAGGATCAGAAGTTGGTGCAGAGAATAATGGAGAAGTCCAAGTGTCGGGCTTGCAACTTCCTGAGCAGGAAGAAGAGTTAAAGAAAGGGAAAGAAGAAGAGATACCTCTTCCCCAAACCCAAGAAAGATCAGGTTGCAGATCAAGCTGGAATTACCCCTTAAAAAGAGATTAGAAGGGGCGGGAAAACCCAAATCACAATAAGAAAACATGGCTGTGAATAAAGGATGGGTTCGGTGCCGGCACATAAGGATGCAGGGCACGTTCGAAACCTTATTCAGCAATAAACAGTAGGATTGGTTGTAGAAAGTAGAACTGTGAATAGCGCGTCACTAAGACTGAAAGAATTCACTTAGTGGTGCTACGGCGGCGCTATTGATGAGACACGACCTTTGAGGCGAAAGCGTCATGCACCTGTCTGAGCCAATCAGCTTGCTAGGGACTGAATAAAGGAAGGAAAATTAAGAAATTGGGAGGCCTACAGAAGTGAGCTCTCCTGAGGTGATCGAATCAGTCAATGACCTCATTCAGTCTGACAGAAGAACTACTGTGAACTGCTGAGGCAGGTCAAGAAAGACATAAAGAACAAACGCAGGGGTCATCAGTCAGAACGAGTCATCTTGCATCATGACAACGCAAGGCCTCACACAGCAGCCCAAACGGTGCAGACCATCAACGAGCTGGGCTGGGAACTTCTCCCTCATCCCCCTTACAGCCCAGACCTTGCCCCTTCAGACTTTCACCTGTTTGGTTCCTTGAAAGCGTTCACGAGAGGCACGAAGTTTAAAAATATTATGATTAACACTTTAGCATTCAACAGACTGACACCCAACCCCATTAAATATCAGCCCTCAAAGTTTCAGTGTTTGGGATCAAAGTTTCACAGTGACTTCCTGCATTATTGCTGTTATCATATATTATAGCAGAGTATACATGGGTTGGAGGGTTACAGTAGATTGAACACTGAGAGCTGATATTTACAAGGCAAGTTTGGGCATGTTGAAGGCTGAAGGGTTAAACTGCAAATATGACTACAATTCACTGTTTCTAATCTTTTGAAAAACCATTCTCTCTTTGGTTGAGCACAAATGAAGATCCCACAATATTACCATTCAGCTGTATATAATTTACTTTTTTATTCTATTATTAAGAGTATCTTATTTCAATATCGCTGACAACAGTGCTTAATTTTGCTTATTCAGACGTCATGTACATATTCTTGTATGTGATAAAATGTAATTTTGCATCACTTAACTTTTTCTTTATAGAGATCAAAGAAATTCTTTAACATTTAAAATAATGTCATCATAAGTGAATAATAATAGCAATCAAGTTTGGAATTTCTTGTAACAGAGAACATAATAAATGCAGTAAGTTAGTATAGCTCTAACTCATTTTTAACAAAATTTAATCCTATTTCTATTCCCTTTAAGGGTATTGAATTCTTACTGCTATAATGCTATTAGATGTTGATTTTGCTCTGTTACAAGTAATCATTCTCAGAGTTGTATATCGATTTCAATAAGAATATAGTTTAGTAGCAGAAAATACAGAAATATGTTAATCAAATAAATGTTTCATGAAAGGCACTGTCTTGTACACAAAAGTAACCAAGTTACAAATATAAATAAATAATTTCAGAAATTTTATCCTGAGAAGCCACAAGTTCTGTCTTAATATTACCATTCCTACCTGGTACCTTTCTGCTTTTGCACTTGAAATTCTTTGAGTTCATGGAATTCTTTTGTAAGTTCCCTGGATAATGAAAAATGAGACAAATAGTGCAAGAAAAAAACTGCATTCAATTATCATGTAAAATGAAACCAGAACATCTTTAGTGATTCTTATAGAAATGACATATTACAGAGTATTACTGTTTAGTAATTAAGTAAGTTCCTCTGCATGCATTGTAACACATGATAGAGGTGCATATTCATGATTGTCAATATCATTTCAGTAGACTATAAAATATGTTTTTTTATATTTATGATAGGGGGGATAGTTAAAATAAATTAATATAATTTATTTAAAATATTTTCAAACAATTTGAATGCTTTTTAAAAATTTATTTTGAATGCATAACTTTTCAAAATCAAATAATATTTCAAAATGTTAGTTCAATTCAACAAATTTACATGGTTTAAAGGAGATAAACCATTCCTTGGTGTGCAGAAATAGTTTGCATTTGATTAATATTTCTATATTTCTATATAGTGTAGTATTTTCTTGTCAGCTAAGATGGTTACAGATTAATCTTAGAACACACACATATATTTTATATTAAATAGTTTATTTATATTTATTAATTATTTATTTATATTTTAGATTTATTTTTATTTAATATTAATTTAATTTAATTTTAAATAATATTATTTTAAATTTAATATTTATTCATTAATTTAAACTTAATAGTTATTGATTTATATTTAATTTTTTAAATTTTATTTTATTTTTATTTAATAATTTTATTTAGTAATTGTTTTATTTATTATATTATATGTATTATTATTTGGAGGGAAGGGAAGGATCTCCGTGATGATTAATAGAGAGCAGTTTTGTCTTAGAAGCGTTGAAGTGACCAGCCAATTCATGCCCCAGTTCACAATCGATTGGAGGTCCTTTTCGAGATGCACGGCCAAGCGAGTTTTGTCAACGAGACTAGATTTGTTTTTGCCATAACCCTGGAGCTTGCGAAGAAGGCCAGCATGCCAAACCATATCAAATGCTTTGGAGATGTCTAGTGCGACGGCTTCCCCGTTATTTTGGAGAGCTAGGTAGACTGTTTCAGTGATGGCCGTAAGCACATCGGCTGTAGATCGGGCAAAGCGGAAACCATATTGCTTGTCTGAGAGCAGATTATGGGATGTGAGGTGGTTAACCACCCCTGTATTGATTAAAGGTTCGAAGACTTTGCCGAAGAGGGGAAGGAGACTGATAGGACGGTAGTTGGAAGGGTCAGAGGGGTCGCCGGAGTTCTTGAAGACAAGAACGATCGAAGAGGACTTCCAGCAGTCAGGAAAACAAGATTCCTTGAGGCAGTAGTTGTATAGTTTAGAAAGGGCAGGCGCCAATTCAGGCGCGCATTTCTTCAAGACGTCTATTGCAGTCAGACATGTCGCTACGGTATAGGTGGAAGTAGTGGTTCCTATGGGCGATGGCGGCTGAGCAAGCAGCCGAGAACCAGGGGGAGGAGCGCGACTTGACCCTATATTTCCTTGATGGGACACTGTATCCTAACCCCACTGGGCTGACATCAGCCACAAGACCGGACGTTGGTCCTGTATGGTCCAGTATTACAGATAAGACCTAAGTCTCCGTTTTCAAATGTCGATTCGATTCCACTCACCAGCCACGTTGTGATTTTTGATCCTGGCGAGTAGTTATCGGGTCGTAGAATTCCAAAAGCTTTCGTTGGTCTTCCTGTAAGCTTGTTTGGTGAGAATTGGGTTGTCTTGTTATCGATAGAATTAACCTTTAGATCAAGACATTCTTAATTCTACCTTCTATTAATAATCTGATATCTTTTTTACGCTTAAAAAAAGGTTGTATTTCGTTTTCTAAATAAAATCTGTAACATTAATATATAAAATATTAATATATTTCAAAATTTTTACGGCATATCAATATCTTAGTTATTCGAAAACACCTCTCTTCACTTGGTGTTTTCTGTTTCACAGCATCCCCTTTTCTTTTCATTATTATTATTTCGAGGTGATATTGCCCTCTGCCCCCGCCAAATATATATATATATATATATATATGGGGGGAGACAAGAGTTGTTTTCCCTTGGGTTGAACGAATGTGTGTTCAGTCCTTTTAGAGAGGAGAATTCTTCTTAAATGAAGATGAATACCTTCTTAACCACTAAAGCGTCCACACCCGTGGAAAATGGACAACACGTTCACAGCCTAACGTAGAATGAAAAGTCATTTTGATTCACCTTGCTATGGTTGGTCAAAGGTCACAATGTTGGTATGCTTATTTCTTTGTTCGTTTTTCTGTCAAACATTCTCGTTCTTTGTACTGCGTGAATAATCATTTGTTTTGGGACATGTGTAAATCTTTTTAACATGTCTATCAATGTCTACACTAGTGCTAATACTAGTACTTGGTGTACAGCAACGCGTTATTCTTCCTAGCACTAAATAGCCTGTAAATTATAGCTGTTTTTTAAAAGATACTAACTAATATGAGCCAACGCACACAACAAATATATCAAGAAATCAAAAGAAAACGGTTGAATCCGTCAACATAATACAAACCACACGTGAAAATATTTCCGTGACATAATTTTTCAGTTGACCATATGAACATACAATAATATTTCTAAATTCTTCCAGTTGCTAACAACATTTGTTTATTGTTTATAGATACTTTGTTTCAATAAATTCATTTGGTTCTTTTGCCTTGAAAAAGTTCACATTGGACGAAACGCGTCGGCTAAAACTACAGTTTTCCTATTGTCCTTTTCAATTATACATATTGTCTTTTTCCATACCGTCTTTTCCTACAGGTTAATTCTGAAAATTTTTATACATATATGTGCATATAGACACACACGTATGTGTTTGTGTATATATATATGTATATATGTATATATATATATATACATATATATATATACATACATATATATATATATATCCATATATATGTATATATATATATATATATACACATATATATCCATATATATATATACATGCATATATATATATATATATCCATATATATTTCCATATATATGCATATACATCCATATATACATATATATATATCCATATATACATACATATATATATATAAATATATATCCATATATGTTTGTTTTTTCCATATATGTTTGTTTTTTCCGTATATTATTTTTTTTTATAACTTTCAGACTCACCGATCATGTGAGCGCAGATGACTTTTTAAGCCAGCCTTATTTTTACAAGCTTTTGTACAAATGTGGCACTCGAAAGGGAGATAAATATGCTTTATTGCAGAGTGTACAAGAAGGCACAAGGACTGATTGCCGGCTTCTTTCAATGGATGTAGCCTGATGAGACCTAAGATGACTTTGAAGATCTGCCTTTGGAAGTGCAAAATTACCACATAAACTACATACATGCTGTAAGGTTAGGGGTGGAAAGTGACGCTTCAAGATTACTTTGATGAAGATTGCGCTTAACCTTAGCATGTTCCACCTTGTCCTCTTCAAACTGGTTACAACCTTGATGAACTGTTCTTCAGGAAGGTCGACATTCAGCCTCCAGTTTCCAGATGCCAACTGATATCACAAGAGCTTTGAGATTGGTTTTGATGCAATCTTTAAAGCACTTTCTAGGTTTGTACCTGGGACGCTTGCCTACAGATAGTTCCCCATAAAAGACACGTTTAGGCAACCTAGAGTTATCCAAGTGCACCAAGTACCCTATCCATGTAAATGCACCTCAACAGGAATTCCATCCATTCCTGGTGCCTTCCCAGTATTGACCTCTTGATTTGACTTCCTATTCTCCTCATATGTTGGTGGAATTGCCATTTCATGCACTACATCAGACTGAGGCAGATTGTTGATTATGTTCAAATCAACAACTGAAGGATTATCAAACAAAACTGAGAAATGTTCAGTCCAATGCTGTAATATGTTTTTGGAATCCTTATGGAGATTGACTCCGTCCATAGTTTTCAGTGGAGTTAGATGCTGACTGAGGCCCGAAGGCCTTTCTTATACGTTGGAGTCTTTACGATTGTAGGCATCCTGAATTTGCTTGGAAATATCATGCTACCATTGATTCTTTAATTGGCCTAATCTACATTGAAGAGAGGGTGGTCCAGTGGCCCCGTTTCACAGAAAGGGGTGAACGAGGTCACAAGAGGCCCGCTAACATTTTTTGAGACGTTAAATCTGACCGTGAAACAATATGGACGACAGAACGAGGATATGTATGATATACAGAGGTTTATTCTAAAAGGAAATGAAGATGGTCGGAAACGGTGGAGGTGCTGGAAGCTGCAGGAGTACTGGAAGCTACAGGAGTGAGCCGGAAACTGCGGGAGTGAGCTGGATGCTGCAGGAGTGAGCCGGATGCTGCAGGAGTGAGCTGGAAGCTGCAGGAGTGCTGGAGTGAGCTGGATGCTGCAGGAGTGAGCTGGATGCTGCAGGAGTGAGCTGGATGTTGCAGGCATTGATGGTCGAGGTTGGCGTCGGTAGTTGCTAGGATCATCGTTGTTGGGGGGTTGAAGCTGATGTTGGTTGATGCCAGGATGATCGTTGTTGGTTGTTGAAGCTGAGTCGTTGCCGGGGTGCCAACTTGACGTGTTTGTCGTTGCCGGGGTGCCAACTTGTTGCTGCAGTTCGTGTTGCCAACTCGTTGTTTGTCATTGCCGGGATGCCAACTTGACGTGTTGGGGGAGAGAGGAGAGAGAGAGAGAGAGAGAAAGTTCCCAACTATCGTCAAGTTGGCAGACAAAAAAAAGTGGGAGCGTAACTTAATACACAGCCCGTAGATCGGCGTCCTTGGTCAATGAAGGCCAAGGGGCCTGCGTAGACGACCGTTGCGGCCGCCGACAGCCTCCCCGGAATCTAGGGAGAAATCACTGTCTTGTGACGAGAGAGACCAGCAAGAGAAATTGGCTAAGCTAACCGAAAAGTCTCTATAATCAAATACTACAAGGTTAGTTAGAGAGAACTATGGTCTAAAAATGACTAGTAGTATATTACAACTAGGTTTGTAATATAGCCTAACTAAAAAGGGGATTTGCTAGTCCCTCTGACGTGTTAACAGTGTGTAAGGAGCATGAATGAGAGGTCAAGGTCGAAATGACTTGTTCCTCTGCAGGTTCAAGGATAGAAGGAGGAGGTAACTCCGACAAGGGACCCACAGGCCTTAAAGGACTGGCAAAATGATTGACGATCAACTGTCAGATGCACTCAACATCTGATAATGATCGATTTTGGTTTTAAGAAGCTCGTTGATTTCGAGATTATTCTAATCGAACCAATCTTGATATTTCTTTTTCTTAATTTCAAGACATAAGGATGTTGTATATAGTCTTTTTAAAATCTTTCCGGGAGCCAAACTGAGAGTCTTCCAAAGCTTTTTGAAGCTCTTTCCGTACCACCGGATCCTTCAACTTATTCACATAAACCCGTTTGGGGATGTTTGTCCCTCCAGAACGAACTTTCCATCTTATACACAATTTCAGTTTTCCTCTTACAAGATTGTGATCAGTACCACATTCTGCACCCCCATTACTCGTACACTGCAAACATCTTGAAGGTCACGTTGACAACACATTATGTAATCAATGATGTGACCTTGGCGAGACCTTGGGTGAATCCAGATTACCTTATGGATCTCTTTTTTTGAAAGAAAGTATTGCATATAGAAAGACTGAAGTTTGTGCAGAGCTGGATAATATGCAAACAATTTTTGTTTACCTTACCAAGTCCAAAACGACCTACAGGATCCCACGTTTCATGATTTGTTCCCACCCTCGCATTAAAATCCCGCAAAAGGAGAATTTTATGAGCCTGAGGAATTTTTGAAAGCATTGAATGGAGGTGTTCCTAGAAAGCAAGTATCATTTCCTCATTATTGGACATGGTCGGACCATAGACAGAGATTAATGTCATGAATCTGTTTCCTGGCAGTGGCATACGAATAGTCATGATTCTTCTCAAGATGTGCAACAAGATTACTTACCCTTCCAGTAGAGAGTGTAGCCTGCACTTTTTGTCCATCAGTTGATCCTCATTACTAAAGCAAGTCTCAGAGAGAGCCGCAATGTCAATATTTTACCTTGATAATTCCTTTGCTACAATGGTAGTTCTGCATTCAGGTTTTTTACTTTGATCACTATCTAAAAGGGTTCTCACATTTCAAGAACCAACTTTCATGAAGTGTCTCTGATGATGAAAATTTGATGTAGTTTTTAACTTTTGATTTTTGTAATTTACCTGCAAAAATAAACAGCCACTGACTACAGGAAGCCGGCCAGCTTGAAAAAAGAATAGAGTTTTTGTTTAAGTCACCTTTACTAGACCCCTCCCAAATTCATGGGTGAGCAGTTTTTCTTTGACAAGGGCTGCTTAGATGCTAAGGAATCCAACGAAGGATGCACATGTCGCCACTTCTCCATACACCATAGGAATTTGTAGAGATATCTGCACATCAAGATGGTGATACAACATACTTACGTGACACCGCGACCCCTTTAAACATTTGCCCAGTGACAAGCATATGCGAGATGACTGGACAGCTAATGGAGTTGCATGTTTTTTATCACAGAGTTTAACCTCTCTTTTGGCTAAAACAAGTTGTACTGGTTTACAGCTTTGCTAGTAGCAGTCACACCTGGTATCTGGACTGACCTGACATACTTACACACACACACATATATATATATATATATATATATATAAACACACACACACACACACACACACACACACACACACACACACATATATATATATATATATATATATTTGTGTATTTAGCCAGATAAATCTCTGAGTGAATAAATTACGAACATTAAGTCTGCTCATTTCATCATAATCCTTTCATATTCATTAATATTTTTCTGTATATTACAATTAAATAAAACAAGAAATGAACTATAACAGTGACAATCACACTTTAATGCACGCTCAACCATGACATTTCAATATATAAAAAATTTATTCAAAATTTTTCCAATAAATGTAATTTTATCCGTGAAAAAAATTCAGTAATGGATAACGTCTGGACATAGCATTTAAACGTTAATGAAAAAATTCAGTAATGGAGAGAGCTACACATAGTTTTTGCCTTACCAGTTGCACCCCTGATGATGATGATCTCAGAAAGAGATGGAAAGTACTTGGAAAATAAAAGTAATTCTCACTGTTACATATGTTTGTAATATATATATATATATATATATATATATATATAACTAAGCTATTAAGTATATATTAATAAATAGCATGAATCTGAGTTTATGCATGATGCAATCTTAGCTGCTGAATATGTATCAATCATTATGCAATTTGAATTATAATAGATCTGGTTATCACAATGTTGTTATAGTTATATATTATGCTATGATTACAGTTTTTTTAATTGTAAAATTATGTTGGGTAATTTAAATAAGTAGGATTTACATATGTATGTAAAAAAAGAGAAAATTAAAAATTATATTTTTGAGTGGTGAATATTCTTATTTTAATTTTTTCTTATTTTTTAATTAAACAGCAATTACCTGTTCTTATTTAAGCAAAAAACAAATTTATATTCAAAATAAATAAATTCTAATTTACTTTTATATAATAAATACGATTGTCTCTGTGTAACACTTTTTCAATTAATGGGACACAGCTGTCTAAATTTCAATAGCTCATCTTACAGAAATTTTGGATTCCCAAGTTTTCATTACTTCAACTGTTTTCTGTTATTTTTTATGTAATTTTTTGTTTCAAATTTTTTGTATGATAACAATTTTTAGAACTTGGAAATAAATTTTGGAATAATCGAAATTTATTGCAAAATCCAGTGAAAGTTACCCATGAAAAATTGTTTGTACAGAAAGTAAGGACCTGCGTATATCAAATTGTCTCTAAATTAAGTGGTGGCAGAAGAATTACCATTGAACTTTAAACAGGTAAGCCTAAGTAATAATGCAATACTTAAATGCAGTGATCAATTTTGACTTCTCTTGTAGTTTATTGCTGCCTATCACATAGGGCAGCAATATGCCTTGCAAAAAGAAATCTGTCAACAGAAGACCAGATTGCAATCAAAAGAGCCAAGGCGTCAGTGAGGAAAAGAAAGTCCTATGCAAATGAAAACCCAGATTCCTCAGCAGCTTCCAATGCTGAGAATATGCAAAGACTTAGGCACCCTCAAACTCCTGAACAAGCTGAAGGCCCAATTGAGTGTCCTCTGCATGAGCTAGCTTAAATGCTGCCTGATAGGGTGCCTTTAAGCTACTGAAAAATAATTAAAATTAAAAATTAATCTCGATCAACACATTTAAGTAGATATTTATTTTTATGCCTATATGTCACCATCAATTCATTTCTTTTGTTTAATAAGCTAAGGTTATTTAGGTTTTTTTAAGACAACCAGTTTTTCAACAAGGCATAAATTGCATTTATTTACTTTACTGTTATAAGCCTTACATCTAGATATAATTTACCAGGTGATTGATGGTGATATGCCATCATTCTTTAATTGCCAGAAATATTTGGAGAGAGCAGTACTGTTTTTGTATTTTAAATTACTTAAGGTCATTCAATGATGGTAAGAACAAAATTTCAAAGGATTTTCCGTAGAACCAAAATAATATTGAACTTCACCAGAATATATGTTCACTCAGTATACAATATTATTGGTAATACATTGACCATTCAAGGTATTTTTTCAGCAGGTGCATTTAATTTTAAGAGAAAATATGTTGTCTTTGTTGAAAATATGTTTGTTTAATATAATGTTGCTTCTTTGTTTATTTTGAAATACTCTAAATTAATTTTATGATGGCTTAGTTCTAAAGTTTCTATATATTTAATTTTAGACTTACCAAATATTTTCTTATTGCTGGAGTTGGTGGATAATCTAGCTTGGACTAATTTATGTAAATTATCTAGAATTTTGTGGTGGTTGGTTTGATTCTTTACTAACATATCTATGGTTATATAAGATCCTTTGTATATGGTTTATAATAACCATTATTCAGGTCTAATGTTACATCGAGGAAGCTGATCACTTTAGAATTGGTGGTGGTGGTAATATTTACTTCATGATCATTAAATATTTTATCAGTTCTTTTCTCAATTGGTCTATCTTTCATGGGCTTGTTTATATATATATATGTGTGTGATCATTTTACAGTTTAAATAGTGAGATGTAACCATAAGTTCTACTGTAACAATTTCTTCTATCACACAGAATTCCGGATTTCTTCTCTAGTAGAACAAATGTTGTGAGTAATTCAAATGAGATGTCTTAAAATTAGAACAATGCTGAAAATTATTTCCTAATTAAAAAAAACAAGTTTACTGTACATATTGATTAATAATGCACATTATATACTTCACAATCTGAAAAAAAACAGATATTGATTATCCAGTAAGGAGTGAAGGGACTATGTTTTATAAGGCTAAACATATTGACAAGCACTTGCATAACACTTAAAGTTTGTTGGAATTCATATGTCCATATTCCTATTCATCAGTGCATTTGTTCCTTTTTCATTGCATCATTTTATTTTATAATTTTTCAAATTATTTGAGTATATGATATTTGACTATTTTGACTAATATCTTCATCTTTTTTCTAATAGCATTTTATAGCTGAAGTGTCAGTAGTGTGCCAGTTAAAATGTAAAATTAAAAAAAAACAACCAAAAACAAAAAATGACTTGCTTTTTACCGTTGTTTCTGTAGATGCTTTTCTTCAATCTTGGCTTGTAGAATTCTTTGTTGTTTTTCTCTCTCTGCTTTTTGTTGTTGTTCCAGATGATGCATCACATTTTGGTGACGCTGAACAATTTGATTTGACAAACCTTGAGGAGTGCGTTCTGAGCCAACTAGCCCCTCCAGCTTTTCCTGCGAACCAAAGGCAAAGCAAATTGCAACAATGACCAGAAAACAAGTTAATTAAGGACAAATTATCTATTGGACAGAAAGAAAAAGCATTCAGAATATCTCATATGTTTTTCAAAATTGTTTTAATTATAATTGAGCATGTAACATTTCTATTATTGATTAGGTTTAACAGTCAAATGTATTGCATCAGTGGCAAGAGAGTGCCTGTTTTGAAAATGGACATCTGAAATTTTAACTTGGGATAGGATATGCTACATTTGTATATCTATTCAAGATTACCTTCCAAGAAATAATTGGTATTTATCTAATTTTAAAACCCATGAGTTGGATCCTAACTGGCTAATTCCTTAATCTGATTTTGTGCCCAAGTTGATGATATATAACAAACTAGTACAACTTATATTAAGTAACTTTAATATAAAATTTATTCATTATGCATTTATTTGCAACAATTCATCACTAAAAATGTTTTGATCGTTGTTCTAATAAATTATTTATTTACAAATAATTACAGCTGTTTTGAAACTGAAATTTGCTGGTACTTATCCTCACATGATGTTGAACATGACACATTTTTTAACATTAGCACTTCAAAAAATATGCCCCTTCTAGTGAGTGGTTAGTCAATAATTAACTTAATAATTTTCCATTTGAAAAGATTGACAAGGCAGAATGCTTAGAAGAATAAAGATTATCTATTTCTAATGTTATGCATGTCTAACATCTGCTTGTATTTTTAGTTTAAAGAAATTTGGAAGTTTATTTGCTCTTTGTTTTTCTCTGCTCCTTGTTTAGCTTATGAAAATAGTTAGATATTAGACAATGCTAGTCAAATTGAAAGAAGGGACATATACAAATGTATGTAGTTTTATTTATCAAGATATCAATAAGCAAAGTTGGAAACAAAGTGAATAAATCAAGAATCACATAAAGACAAATTTTCCAACATTTCAGAAATAAACTGAACTTAATTACCTCAGGTTTTTATATTTCATACATGGAATTAAAAGAAAAGTCTACCATTGGAAAGAGAACTTTATAAAATATGAAAGAAAATATTCATATTTTCCAGATAATATGTAAATAAAATTATTCAAAATAATTAAAGGATATAAAATATTCTTACAAGTCTGGAATGTTTGTGTATTTTATTTGATGAAAATTGCTGAATTTGTGCAAAATGTTGTAACTTTGAAAAGCCATTATCAGCATTAAATCTACAGTTCAGGAGTAAAGGAAAGTAAGCAGTGTGCACATTTTTCATTTTAAAAAATCCAACAAATCTAAATTTTAATTTTTGAAATATTAAGTTTTATTCATAAAAATATTAAGTTACATGATTTGTTGTTTAGCAGATGGTTTGTGTTTCTTTTGTTTTGAGTATCATATATATTATAAAATGAAATTAGTGAAGCTTTCAGAATTAAAGGAGTTAAACATTTTGCCAGTTAGATATCATGCTACTTGATAGCATTATAGTCACTGAATGACTGCAAATTCAAGTTTTAAACAATTAAATAAATAATGGACAAGACAAATGGATTTGGCTCACACATTCTGGCTATCACTGCTTATATATATATATATATATATATATATATATATACACACACACAGAGTGTGCGATGGATACATTGTTATGCAAAAATGAATATAACACTGACATCTCATTTTAACAGATATATTTACCAAAATTACACAAAGTTGGTTTTCATCACTCTTGGATGGAGTTCTTTTCTTATTAGAATGATTAGAGTGAGTTTTCCAACCTGCTTTACTTTTGCAATTATCATTAGACTAATCTAACTTTTCCTGAATCCTCTGCACTGTCCTCAGATTGACACTCAAACACTCTGAAATGTTCGTATTGAAGCTTCTGACACAAATGCCAAACAGTACAGCATGCAATTTCCATTTCTGGCAGAATTAATTGCATCATGGTGCTCTTTTTCTCACAGACGCTGCCCAATTGACCCTACTATACTGTGCAGTCAAAAAAATCAAAAACAAACAATGTGCATGTGTGAAATTAAAAATATAAAATTGCAACAATTTACCCATCTCACTCTGTATATATATAGTATTCATACTTACGTGAAGGCATTGCAGAGTACTGTCTTGTCTGTCCATAAAGACTTTTCTTCGTGCCTTTGCAATCTGAGAATAAAAGCATTTTTTTTCAACAAATACAGGAATAAAATGATTTTTGAAAAGGAATTTGTCTCAAGGCCTGAATATCTAACATATAGTTTACAAAAAGTATTCAGTCTGAGACACTTTTCAAAATCTGACCTTTAAGTATATAATTGTGTTAGAAATAGGCTTTATTTCCTATAACTTCATCTGGTAAACACCCACATATTAAATATAATATTTAACATGCCCATACTTCATTTTCTAACCAATAACAGACAATATTACAAACATGCCAAAAAATTCCACAATACAACAGACATCATTTAAATCAAAGTGTCTATAGGTTATGAATTAACATCACCATGTGAAATATTTGTCCAATAAGAGAAAACTAAAATCCTGCTTTTCTTTAGTCCACTTTTGGGAAAAATTTCTTATAAAACCCCACAAATTTTGACTTTCAAGGAGAGTGATGCAACTGTCACCGCCAGCATGTGCTGAAAGAAACATGTATTGTGACTTCAAATGAATCATCTCTAACAACAGCATAGATGGCTCGTCAGTGATTTTGAAACAAATAAAAACAACAAAGAAGAACCTTTTCTGTGTACCCAAGGACTTTAACTCAACTGATGACTATTTTTAATACATTTTGTGATACTATTTGTCATTGCCACAGTAAACAGAAGAAAGTTTTGTTAAAGCATAAGAAAGTGTTATCTACTGAGAAACATTGAAACAAGAAGGGTTAATACCAAAAACCTGTGGGAAGAATTGAGGATTTAATTCACACATAAACAACTTGAAATGTATGTTGAGCAGTTTGAACAATTGAAAAGTGACCCAGACTCAGGGGGCAATGTTGATTGACACACAGCTGCAAATGTGGGTTGGAAAGCGAAAAAGTAGATTTTGGTAAACAACTGAGTTTTCCTGGACAGAAAGTGGTCAAGGTATCAGGCACAGATAAGACATCAAGTAGGATGGAGGAACCAATCACACTCACTGAAGAGGTTGGTGAGAGAGGATAATAAAAGAGAGAGTGGAGAGAGGGAATTCCCCAAATTTATGATGTAAGCTGGATGGGATTCACGTAAATGCTCCTACCTCACCATATCCCACCCCCATGCTAGTTTGGGCGAATGTCTATAAATATGAATGCCCAAAGCAAATTAAGCAAAAGAGAGGCAGAAGAGATGGAGATGAGACTAGAGACAGGAGAGAGGCCCACATGATTATCTGCCAATGAAAGCCTCTGACTTCAGCCTTGTGCCAGATTTTACCAAAACAACAAACTAAGCTTTGCCAAGTCAACAATGATAATATCACTTCTGATTTAGATGCAGGTTGGGCTGATAATTAATTGCATACAAACTCTGATCTGAACCAATTATGGTATGGAGGACTGATATAAAAACAATATTTACTTTTGTTGAATTTATTCAAATGTTTTTTTTCTCTGTACCCCATCACCCTGCTTGGACCAGCCCAACAGAAAGATACCTGTGTCAATTCGATCTTGGCTGCCTTATAATCAAACTTGAATTACAACATGGGATAAGGTTAGCTCTCAATTGAAGAGGTCACTTCTGCGACCAGCGCTGCAGTGTTGGAAGGGAGGGTGCTGCATGATTACAGTCTTTTGGATTCATGTATGTGTATGTTTGTAAAGAAAAAGGATTTATTTAACAGACATATCCATGTTTTCTTTATTTTTATTTTATTATTGTTTGAAATTTGGATTTTTAATACAAAATCTTGGGGAGAAGAATTTCTTACAAAGTGATGACAGGAAAATGTGATACCTTTAGAAGACTTTAATGGACTAACAAGATGTTTACATTTTACTGTTGAAGAGTGACAACCAATGGGAATTATCAGTAGAAATTCAAAGGGAGATTAGTAGAAAACATGTTACAGAGATGGGAAAGTGTTCAGAACATCACATTCTCCCCTTTCTTAGAATTAGAGTCCCTGATAATGAACAAACTCACTTACAGAATGTCTTTGTGGTCCTAAGGTAACAAAAACAGGAGTGAAGGGTTCAGTTGATGATTGGAATTCAGAGTGATTATTAGATTCCTTAGGAGGAGAACCGTTGACTCTTTGTGCATGAATTCCATCCATATTTGAACTGCAAAAAAATATGGATGGAATTCATGCACGAAGTCAGTAAGTAGAACAATAGATTCCACTGAACCAGTATCTGCATGCATGTTAGATGGCTTCTTGCCTTGTGACATATCACCAGTTGGGGCTAAGTCATGTATTGAGTCTGTCAATTCACATCAATCTGCATATCATATTTGGGCATATTGTGGATTCATTTCGATCAAATCAACTTCATCAACCAGAGGATCATATTTACTCACATGGAGATAGTGATGTACTAAGAGAAGACCTGATACAGAGAGCCAGCAACGTTTCTTAGATGCTAGTGTTAGTGTAACATGTCTTCAGGTAATACCATTGTAATGTGCATATTGTCCATTCCCTTGTGGATTACAAGGCATTGTTCTGTTGGTTGCAATTCCAAATTTTGTCACAGCTCCTTTGATAGAAATAAAAGTCTCTGATCAGAATGAATGTATGCAGACATTTCAAACACAGAAAATATCTGATTCAGACAGTGGGTAATGGTTTCCATTGTCATGTTCAGACATAGGAATGTGAATGGAAAATGTGAACATGCATCTGTTACTGTAAATAGCAATTCTTAGAGGCAGAAGGTATGGGCCCTTTGAAATCCATATTGATTGTTCCATGATTTATGTGGCCTTGACAAGATTTATGTTCTTGAAATATAAAATTGTGGTTTTAACTGAACACATACAGGACACTTAGTACATAACCTTTTTAATTCCTAAATACAGAATGGAAGGTTTCTTACCTTAACAAATTGAACTAGTCTAGTTATTCTGGGATGACAATAAAAAATGTGGAAGTTTGATAATGTTTTTTGTTGATGGCAGCCCCACAGGGTGCTCTTGAGAGTGTGTCTACTTGGATATTATCTTTGCTGGTTTGATACATTATATTGTACGCATAGCATCCCAATTCTATCCTCCATTATTGAATTTTGTTATTTTTAACTTTCCCAGTATTTTCATGTGGAACATAAAATTTATAGCCTGCTGATCTGTGACTACTGTGAACTTTTGTCTTGACAAGTAGTGAGACCACTTTTTCACAGCGTCTACTATAGCACAGGCCTCCTTTTCAACAGATGCATGCTTCAGTATCTCTCTATATTTCTGAGATGAGGTATTATGTGCACTATTTACATTATTCGGACTATTGTCACCATATTTATTACAACATTTCGGCCATTGTACACTCTGCCCTTTTTCAGGTGGTTGGAATATCAATCTAAACCCTTTATTTCACTCACTGGCGTAGACTGTTCTAGTTCCACGTGCCATGTCTAATGGATGTCAGTTATCAGTTATCACCTGTTAATTCACCTATCCAAGTTCTCCACCACCTTAACCACTGGATCTAACTAACACCTTTTATACACTGTTCAGAAAAGGCATTAGTTAGATCCAGTGACAGGACACAAAAGAGTGTGAGTTCAATACCTGGTTAATTTAACAGGAGATAACTGATAACTGACATCCATTAGACATGGCACGTAGAACTAGAACAGTGAGTGAAATAAAGGGTTCAGTTCAACATTCCAACCACCTGAAAAAGGCTGGAGTGTACAAGAGCTGAAACGTTGTAATAAATATGGCAACAAAGATGAGGACAATAGTCCGAAAAATGTAAATAGATGCAATGCTTGTGTTCCATGGGGGTGCATGTATAGGGAAGAGAAGGCAACCGGTTGACCTACTTGGTTGCAAGTAGCTTTAATGACATTGTCAGAAGGCATCAGTTTCTACTATGAGTGGCATTATCTCATCAATGGAATACAACAATGCTTTTCTAATTTCTTCTTTACAGTGACTGAGAGAAAATGTTTCAGCAACATCCAATGGTCTAATCTAGTCTAGAAAACTTTAAAATCCACTGGGAATAATAGGAAAAAAGGCCAATGACATGGCATAAAGTGATCTTATCCTTAGAGATGGGTAGCTCTTTAAGGGGTCACAATCTCTCTGCAGTTATGGTATATACAAAAAAGTCAATCAATTCGACTGACTTCTTTTCATTAAAGGTGAGATTGTGAAGCTGGGCAGTCTCATGGAACCTCTCTAAATTTGTATTGTGTTCTGTCAGTAATGATAATGCTATAGTTCAGAATAATGATGATATTTCATCATTCTAAAAATAACCTTATCATCAATGATGATAGAAAAGAAGGATATGTCAACATCCTAATCCTTGTGATTATAAAAACGACCTTTCCACCACATGGAGTGACCAGTAGAGAAATAGCAATACAGAAAAACATGTCTGCCAGTGCTCTGGAAAGATTGAAAACAGACAATTTCAAATGCATCCTCACAAACAAAATCTTTGGAACCAAACCAAGTAAGCACTGACTTTTAAACAAAAGAAACACTGAGGACATTTTTACACACACCATAGGAATATTCTGTAATTCACATCACAAAAATAAAAATACAAATTCTTGTCATTTATGTCAACATGTGTCTTTTTATTGTTCATGCATTATAATTTCTGTCATTATTATCAACCACATTACAGTCAACCTCAACATTACATACCCCATTACAATAATATTATCTACATAGGCATAGGTACCATGCAGATGGTATTGTTTTATTATATTATCTATAGTCCTTTGAAAACAGGCTACATTATTCATGACCCCAAATGGAATTCTGCAGAACTGATAAATCTTGTCATTAGCTTCAAAGACAATGTATGGTTTGTCCTCACTTCAGATGGGTATTTGGTGGTAAGCACTCTTTATGTCTAATGAACTGTAATGTTTCAACTGATAAATATCATAGACAAGAACATTTATCCTTGTTTATGAGTGTTGGCCTATAAAATCTTGACTTAGAATCACATCACAGCAGAGATCAGCTAAAACTGACAACTAAGTT